GGGAAGGGGGCTTACACTGATGAGACGATTGCGGTTGTGACGTTGTAATCTCGGATTATATGGGGGACTAGAGCGCCGATACTTCCGTCGTTAACGCCAGCGACGAAGAAGCTGAATCCAGCGCTGAGAATCTTGAGGAGTTCGTTGGTGCTCGGTTTCGATGAACGCGGAGGTTCAGTATCATCGCGTACATTCTGAACCGGGCTGGGTGAGCTACGAAGCTCAAAGGTCTCTGACCTCGTATCAATCTGCGTAACAGTCGCCATTGCTGAAAAGTGACGAGTGAAGTTAAAGACAGGGAGTGAGTGATGTTTATATTCAAGGCTGTCTGGGGAAGTTGGCACAACCCAGTTGGCGCTTTTGCTACTTTCGGATTGAAGTGCGGAGATCTAAGCTTAGGTTGGTTAAGCGTGCTTGCGGTATCTCCTGATTTGGTAGTAGGGCTGTGAGAGATCATCCGCGAAGACGGGCCGGGATGGCTAATTGTCGGGCGAGGGGCGGTTGTCGGGTAACAGTAGGGGAATGGCGAATAATTTACCCTCAAGATGCAGAAGAGATTGAGGCAAGTGAGACTGATCAGTTTGTCTGTATTTTCAAGATAGTTCTGTTTTCGCTTCACTCTGTTTTTCATTGACGCTCGCAGATTCTCAAGTTGGTCTCTTTGCTCGCTGTAGTGTTGCAGTTGTCATGAACGTGAGGTAACCTACGGTGAACATGATCCAGTGAGAATTTCACCGCGCTCGTGCTGTCTGTCCTACTCTGAAAGAAAAATGAAATCATTAAATAAAAAAATCTCATACAAAACATTCTCACTTTATTTCTAGCTCATTCTGTTCTTATTTACGTTTATTCTATGAGTCTCTTCTCAATTGAACCTGGCAATCATAAAGCCGTCACTCACCCTATAGCAAAGCTTGTCTTTACTAGTGGTGACCTGGTGTCCCGGATCTACCCTAGTCGTGCGCTAGAGTCCCCTGTCTCCTGCTGATCCATCAAGAAAAAAATATTTAAAGTTCTGTCAAGATTGAAGAATTTTAATGAGATTCAATGTCCGCTGCAAATATCATATCATAGAGGCTGACAAATCTGCCTGAGAGTCACAGGGTAAGTCAGGGGCAAACCAATCATGAGATTCTGGCGAAAATGACGTAGCGAAAACCCAAGTCACGTCTTTCTCTCCGCGTCTTGAGCGATTTGGCAGAATTGACAACAACAATTGCTGCTGATGCGGAGACCATTCCACGATAAGGCGATGAAAATTGGGCAGGGCGACATTCTGATTGGTGGCTGGTGCATCGGAATTTAGTCTTTTCCGCCCTCCCCCCTGTAACGGTCCCCACTGAATGCCACGTCAAAGGCTAAGGTACTTTGTCGGTGAGTGAGTGAGTCTTGCTTGCAACCCGACCCGACTCCAGATCTACTCTAAATCTGGGGAGTCCCCTTTCCACCTAGACGAAAAAAAAAAAACAATCCAGTCGCTTCCGATGCAATTACTGCGTGGCGATCGTGGAGACACCAGCAGCACTTCTTCCAGGAGCTATGGAGGCTTCGGAGCCTCAGAGCCCCGGCTCTTCGAGTTCAGCGAGCGGGGTCGCTCCGTAGCGCCCAGGTGCATCGAGATGAGCAAGCAGCACCCGGAGGAGTTCCTCAACTATCTCCAGCAGGCCTGGAAGAGGGACAAGATCTACGCAAAGGAGAACCCAGACTCCATGTTCGACATCAAGGCCATCCGCGTGCTGTGCCAGGACGGAAAGTTTAGGCCGCTGGGCAACTCGTATATCCCGCTGCCCAAGCTGCACTACCTCCGGAATCGATATATGCTGGAAGGAGAGCCCTTTCCGTTTCTCAGACTTGAGCCGCCGATACGGTCTGAGGGCGGGTTTGGGCAGTGGAGGTGTCTGAGGGCGTTTGCCAAGTATCATGATGATCTAGATTTCTTTCTCGAGATGTTGGTGCGGATACGACGAACGAAGGCGTCAACGGTTGAATTTCCGCGTCGTATTTTGGAACTCTACCTTCGGATACAAGCAGAGTGTGAAGACTCCAAAGATCCTGCGGCGAGTCAACAAAAAGTCAGGTACGTATACTCATCAACTTCATGATGACTTGCTCATGCGACCAGGAACACGTTTGAGAAAGAGCAGCTAGTCTACGTCCATCCAATATGGAGACCGCTCAGCGAATGCTTGTTGGAAGATACATGCGAGATATCCAGCACACTTTCAAAGTCACCAGTCTTTCCCGTGCCGTCAGATTGGGACGCCAGCAAGTCAGAGCTCGTGTCATTACGAGAGTTTTACACACAGACGCTACGGCTTCAGAACGCGAGCTACAAAACAATCGTCGATGTCTTGGAGAAGCGCGACTTTGATGCGGAACTGGACCCTGCGGACCTTTGGTTGACGGATGAGTTGTATCGGGCCCTGGATAAGATGAGACTGGATCTCTCACCGGATGACGCCGCTGATCTCAAGTGAGTAACCTCGACTCATTCAATCTCACTGCTAACATGACCAGACTCGCGTTTGCTGAAAAAGCCATCATCGCCATCGCACCGGGTGAAGCCGTAACATGGCTCAACGCCGCCGACTGCACATGGTCACCGAAACTCGAGAGCCCCGAGATCAACGACCTGAGCAAACACTACCCCGAACTCCACGACTTCTTTGTCAACTTTCTCGACGTGAAACAGAACGACTCCGGTCTCATCTTCGACACCCTCATGAATGTCTCATCACTGAGTCCCGATTGTTCGCGCGACAACACAGCTAGAGGTCTTCTCGTCGCCGTGAGTCAACGGATACCAGAGTTTGGTCACATCTTTGACAAAGAGCGGTTTTCGAGGAGTAACGTGTTTCCCGTGTCGACGGCGGATGGTGTGTTGTTGTGTGCTTCGACGATGGAGTTTTCTGTTGCGGATCGACAGAATTTGAAGGAGGCTTTCACAGGGAAACTGAACCTGTTGGATTTTGATCCCAAGACTGTTTGGATGCTCGACAATTTACTCGTCTGGGCTGGCCTCGATTCACGGTATCTCTCAAAACACGTGGAAGACCAAGGCCCAGCCGACGAGAACTTTAAGTCAATCGAACTCCCCTACGAGCTTTCCTCCAAAGCCGACCAACTCCTCCGGTACGTCCCCCCCTCCCAACCTCCCTTTCCACCACTGACTTTTCTAGCATCGCCGTTCACTTCAAAAGCCCCCGCACAACAACCCCCAAAGCAACATCCTGGCTCCGCGAAACCCTCGAACACTCCGAAGTCCGCCTCGCGTCGGGCTTCCAATCACAGCTCATCTACCGCTCCGGCAGCGCCTTCATAACGGCTGTCAACCCCATGGGCGGCCTCGACATCAAAGACACAGTCGGCTTCACCGTGTACGCCGACGACGAGAATTGGGAAATCCTGAAACAGACAGTGCTCCCCCGTCGGCTGCTCGAGTGGATCATGACGGACCCCGAGACGAATACTGTAGGTTCTGTGTCTGAACAAGCTGTCAGTCTTGTACGAAGTATTTTGAACATACCCGTTGGTCGCGAACACGTTATTCCCAAGATTTTGGATGCAGAGGGGATTGTGGATTTGGAATTGTTGGAGGCGTCGCCGTACTGGCGTGTAAACAGGTAAGTTTTTCACTCTGAGTGTAAGTTAGATGGGAGGCTGATGAGTTAGTGAACGTGTACCAGACACAACCATCACCACAAAATCCGACAAATTGCGACCCGCCAAGACCCTCGACGACGAAGACGACGACGAACCATCACCGGCCTACACGCAGGGAGAATCCTACCACGCAAGGGAAGGCCTAGCCGACAGCAAGACGACGTACGCAGCACCAGGAACGACGACGACGTACGGTGAACAAACAGGCAAGATCAACGGAATGACGACCAAAGCGGGCGATTTAACAAAGGACACGAAACAAGACGCACTGCGCGATAGACTCCCGATATCGAAACGAGGTTTAGAAAGAAGACACTCTGAGAAGTCTGCTTGGGAGGAGGAGTTTGTGGCGAATGAAGCTACGCTGATTGATTTCTCGGGGGAGGATGTTTATGGGATAGATTGAATAGATTTTTATGTGATATGAGATAAGATAACAAGACAATTAAATTGGGAATTTGGAATTGATCTTTTTTTTGGTGTAGATGTGAGTGATTGCATGGTGTTCGTTTGACTTGGGGGTACGAATCTGATCTGAGAGACAGAGGCTGAGATCTGTCTTGATTTGGGGGAGTGAAGAGCGTGGATCTCGAGTGTGCAAGACGCGCTAGATTGGTCACTGCTACAGGGGAGGGAAGAAAACTCGGGACCTTGATCCTGAGTGATAAAAAAGACTTGGGTAACTGAGCATAAGTTTAGGATATGTTTAGGATAAGTTTAGTAGAGATTTAGGACTCCTACACTAAGGTCTGGTGTTTTCTTGCTCCCTGAGGCTGCCCTCTGATCTCAACTCTCTACTGCCCCACCTTCTCATCTCCATCCTCACTCCCGCATCATCTCCTCTCACCTTCATCTTCCCCATCAAATCGCACAACAAACAACACCAAAAGAGGTAAGTTACTTGTACCCAACCATTTAGTCCAAGACAAGTGCTTACTGGCTCATCTTCGCAGCAACTCAACTATGGTGGGCATTTCTCTCACCAGCTGCCCTGGCTCTGCCAAAAGGTTTCAAGACGACATGGATTTTATCGCGTCTTCTCTTGCCGATCGTGCTGAGCCTGAAGACAAGGAGAGTGATACCGAGGACCATGTAAGTATCTGCCGCGAGCACGAACAAAAGCTTATTGAAAACAGGTCATCGCCGCGTCGTCCGCTCCAATCTCTGAGCTTGAAAAGATGGAAAACAGGCTCGCCAACGTGGAGGCCCATTTTCTGGTCATCCGCAATCAGCTGAAGTTTCAGTCCGAACGGATCGAAGAGGGCATCAAGGCTATCCGCGAGATGGCCAAGTCTCTCAAAGCGGAGGAGGAGGAGCAGACTGGATTGAGCCGGGAAGAAGCTGAAGTCGAAATCGGTTCTTATGAACTGGTGGCTCGCGGCGTCAACTCTGAGAATGGCGCTGTTGAGGATGAAGTGGACTGAAGGAACACAGCGAGGGTGGCGAATTGAGAGCAAGATGCGTTACTTGCAAATGAGGCTTGTGGCTGAGATGTATGACAGCGAAGAACTTGGAGTGCCTGGGTAGCAGAGGCATTGTCCCCTACATCATGTTAAGCTTGAGAGACGACCCACAAAGATCAGGGGAAACTAATGGAGGGAGGGTCTTCCAATTAAGCTAGGTTCTCTCTGCTAGAATAAGCTCACAGCCACAAATCTCAACTGCAAATAACACTTCTAGCCCACAACTTAGATATCGATACCGCGATGACTGACCAATGGCTACAGCATAAAGCTGATATGATAAGAACTTAAATGATGACTCCTTGGCCGGCCTTGGAGGCGTATAAAAGGTTGCCTCCACTTTCAATTGAGCTATCGAGAAGTCGACAGTCTATGTTCACCGACTCATCCAGGTATCTGGACCTGACATATTCAGCTTCAGGTGATATCAAGTATCCAACCATACAAAAGTGCCAATACCCAATTCTCCACTCCCTCAGACATCTACTCTCCGTGAGATTTAACAGCCATGGTCGTATCAACAAGAATACCCAAATCTCAACCAGTTTAGAGTTTCCAAATCCCTTTCACCACATGACGACGTCAGTACCTCCAAGAGAATCAGCCTCAAGCTCTTGAACGAACTCCAACGACATCCCACCAGCACAGTACGCCATTTTAGGCCACGCCATCAGCGCAACGTCACAGCGCCGCTCAGGAAGCGCACCATTCTCCTTCTTCCAAGCCTTGAAGATGCGATTATACCGCTTCACTAACTTGGGGTCACACTCCTCATCCTTAGCCAACTTATGAATAACAGTCCCCGTAGGCTTCAACCCCAAGAAGCAGCGTCGGAACCCAAGAGGGAGCTTCAGCTGTCTAAAAGCAGCAGGGTCCGCAACGCGAAACGGGAGGTCGAAGTGGAATTCTCGAACACTACGACCGGGATACAGCGAGGGTAGTTTTCGGGCGACGTAGTTTCCCGCGCAGCGCTCGCCTTGGAAGACGATTGCTTGGACGGCGAGGTTAGAGTGGGCCATGACGTTGCGGACGAGGAATTCCTCATGGGGGTTGTCGAAGTAGTAGCCGACGGCTCTGTCGAGGGGGTCGAGAATGCCGATGAGGCGGAGTTCGCCGACGTGGTTGATTGTGATGATTCGGGGGGCGCGGATGATGGTGAGGTCGGGTTGAGAGGTGCTCGATTCGCCTTCGTTGGGGGTGGTAGTTGGAGGGTTGGTGATGGGGGATTTTCCGGTCTCGACGATCATGGAGGATGTGTCGGAGGCGGCTTCATCATTGGGGATGGAGGCCTGGACGTCAGACATGATAGCGGTGACGTCGTGTTGCGTTGTAAGTGTCTTTATTTGCTTGAGTGTCTTGATGTGTTATGGATGTCTTGATCCGGAAAAGGGATCGATGTTTCGATGTTTCGATATGAGAAGGCGAGATGTTTTGTGAGAACAAGAGTGAAGTTTAACATGATAAACATCAGAGAAAGGAAGAGATCAATGTCTGGTGTCTGAGCAACGGTTCGTCTGCCACTGGCATGTATTGATGAGTCTACTCCAGACTGCCACTGGCAGAGTGAACTGAGAAGTTGTTCAACAATCATCCTGCTCGCGTTTGTCGATGTTGCACTGCTCGCCTGATGCTCATATATTGCCCACTGTGGTTCATGCAATGTAGCTCATGGCACTGGAGTCTACGAGGATCTGAACCTGTGGAGTCGTATCGGTATGAAAGCCCCATGATGTGTGCTTTGGAGGTACCAGTGGCCCTACGGGTTGTGAGTTGAGGTTGGAGTCGAGGCTAAAGTTTGGAGCGGCACGAAAGTGGGTCGTGGGCTGTGAGCTTGATCTAGCATTCTCGACTTTTAGAATTCCTCTCCTTTCAATCTCCTCTCAACACCACCCTCTTCAACTCTGTACGTACAACAGCAAGCCGCAACGATCGTCACCAGTCTTGACATGCTCTATACTAATCTGTGAATAGTCTCAGGCTTTTGTCTGTTCGTCCGACCCTATTTCGTCGCTCGCTGAACCCGCCCGTGAACATGTCGCTGTGTTCGGGTGTGGGTGTACAGGCAACCGAGTCGCCCTTGATGTGAGTTCAACATGCTCTGTCACCATCATGAAGAAGATTATCATTGAAAGCTAACGGACGTAGGATACACTGTATTCACTGCCTGAAGAATGCCCTCCGTTGGGTTCCATCAGACCTCACTCACGACATTACCCCCCCTACTTGCTCTGGATGTTCCACGACAGCATGCGCGCTGCGAAACAACGGTAAGGGGACTAAAAACTATGGGATAACCAACTAATCACCTATTTGTAGGCGCTACTAAGTATCCCGTCAACAGCGAGACACTTAGCAACAAGTGCAAAAAGGTGAGTTCTACTGCTTATATCTCAAATTCGTAGCTGATTTTGGGCAGCTGTCCGAACAAGACGTTGTAATCCTTATGAGGGTCCAGGTGAACCAGCGCTATTACTGGAAAAGCGACCTTGCCTACGAATCTGACTCCGTACGTGGTTTCTTGCATGCCTCTGGCTTCTCGCTGACCGCACGCAGATGATTATGGCGCTCCGTAACCGCGTTCGTAATGCATCGATAAGGCTCGAGGGGAAGTATGTTGAGGGTGCCTCCAGCCCTACCTGTAACGCAAGCACTATCAGCGACAAGGGAGAGACTATGAGCGGCTTGGACATCGAGAATCTTCGTGTCAAGATTGACATCAGTAACTCGCTTCGGGGTATTTTCCAGATCCAGCACCGTCGCCAGGCTTACCGTGAAGCCGCAGCAGGCAATCCAAGTGCCTTGGCTCACATCGATGCCGACAACTTCCCACCCATTCCTCTCGCGTGGGCCCCAGCACTTTGCCTCGAAGCATTGGTCTCGTGGGCGATGAAGAGCCTAGTGACAACTCGAAGACAGCTGGCAAGAAGCGAGCCGCTTCTGATGGAAGTGGATAGGCCGCGACTTGATGGTACTGAAAACCAGATCCTGTGCATTTCGATTCGCTTTAGAAATCGAGGAGCCAGATGGGAGACAGCTCCGTGGGTGATTAATAGGGAGCAGCTCGCCTTTTGCCAGATGCCTTTGCCGCCTCCGAGTTGTTTCATCGATAGTTAGAACAGATTACCTCTCAATGAAATATGTCAAGCCAACCCACTGAAAAATGCCCCCGAGTTGTCACTAGACTTTAGTTGTAAGGAATGTGTGGGTAGTTGTCGGCATGGATGTGGATCCCCAGGTGAGTTCACCTGAGTCTCACCTTGTATTCTTGAACTTGTAGACCCCCCTTTTTCATCTCACGTCAACACCATCCTCCTCATCTTCATACTTCCCCCAACACCCACCAACCCTTGAAAAGCATCCGCGCTTAGTCTCTCCTTGATCTCTTCAAACCGAGGATTAGTTTATCGCTTGTCGCTTGTGCGTGCGATCACTTTTCGTCGTTGTACGAGGTCCCTCATTCTCCTATCGCTGTGTTCGGCTGTGTTGACAACGGAGTTGCCCAAAATGTGAGACTACATCACTCCGTCATCTTTGCAATGAGATCTATTGAAGCTAACAAATCAAAGGTACCATTGCATTCACTGCCTTGAGCACTCTGCTTGGTGGGTGCCGTCAGATGCTATGGAAAGCGATGATGTCGAGCCTTACGGCTGCTCGTGGAACATTTGCGCAGTGCGCGGTAAAGGTAAGCATGTTCATAACACTTGGGTGGTACACTCAATTTGCTAACCAATCTTCAGATGGCTCCAAGGGTTGCGACCAATGTGACGACGACAGCAGCTGGGAACCGGTAAGTCTATCCCTTGTCTCTGTCCCAGCCAGCTGCTGATACTGGGCAGCTGCCGAATGAACAGGTTCAGCTACTGGAGACCTTCCATCTACATCAGCTCTGTGACTGGAAGAGTGACACTTACTTCCTGAATGACTCGGTAAGGATAAGAAGATCTCACCAGTACTGTGTCTAACTGGCTAATACTTCTTAGCTCGTTGTTGACCTTCACCGCAAAATCGAGCAAGCCCATGCTCAACTTAAGCGAACCGCCTCCGCCGCCACCACCGCTGGGACTACCACGAACGGAAATGTAGGAAGCAATGGGGACATTGCTCTTCAGGTTCGAATGGACATAGCCAATTGCCTGCGCGAAGTCCTCGAGACTCTACAACGTCGTAGCCCCTCCTCCTGTGGCACCATTCCCGCCTTGTCAGAAGAAGACGAGGAACCTGTTGACGACCCCAAGTCTGACAAGAGACGGACTGCGCCCCATGCCGATGGTAGCGGACAGAGTGAGACTGGAGGAAAGAAGCCTAGGACCAAGTAGCTAGTTACAGAGACCAAGGAAGCTGGATAATGAAGGGGTGATTCGTCGTTACTAGGTCGGGGAGAACATTGGTACTCCGTGAGAACAGAGAGAGGAAAGATCAAGGTGGTCACGGCGATAGCACTGTGGTAGTAGAAGACCGAGAGCAATCAATTATCCTCCGAAACTCCAAGCCCCCTATGATGAATCTATAATATCCTTTGTTGAGTTTGGGACATCTCCTTGCTGAACTCCGTGTATCCTTCGACAAGACAAGGACATCTTACGGTGAGTTTGGTTGCGACGGTCGGGTGTCTCTTGTGACAAGTGAGTATGTTTAGGCTAACTTCGTTCGTACAAGTTCAGAATCCTTGGCAGATGAACGCCCGAAGGGGACTTCCTCCAGAATGATTTGACCCATGCCCTTGTTCACTTGAGAGAACAGCTCCTGGTTCTGGTTGCTAGGTAAGATGATGAAAGCTCGCTCTGAACTGGCATCTCTGGGCTTGAAACGAGCGTACGCATGGCCATTCAAGCTCCCCTCCACAACCCGGACTTGCATCCCGATCTTGTGGCAACCAGCGGGGATGCTGGCCATGAACTTCTTATCCTGAACAGGTACAGAGATACAGCGGAAGGAAGAGATAGCGCTATCAGAATGAAGTTTGTTCATGGCAAGCTGAAAGCCATCCTGACTGCCCTGGTAGATGCGGGTGTTGGGTAGGGTCTCCGAGTGAGACAGGACATCTTCGTCGTCGCCGATGAAGTTTTGGAAGCGCACCCTGGTAAGGATCCCCTGGGCATCGATAACACCGACGGGCTTGAGTTCAGGCACCAGCTGAGCTCCGGATTCGGAATCGAAGTGTGACATGTGAAACATCATGGGTTTAGAAACCTGGTAGTTACCCTCCACCACCGCATCCCGGAAGTTTCTGTTCGACACCTCTTGGGCTTTATCGCTCATTTCGAATTCCTGTGTGCCTTGGGTTAATATAAGCTCGGTCATCTAAAGTATGGTCTTACCATGATGAGTTTGTCCGGTTTGTGGAAAGTGCTGGAGGGTAGAGGGGAGTGGTGAGGATGAGAGAAGAGAAACTGAAAAAGAAAAGGTTGCAAAGTTGATGTGGAGAGGGAACAATGGCTGTTTGCACCACCAGAGCAAGTGCCCCACATTCGAGTCGTGATTCACCACACGCATCACCTATTGTCGCCCTCGTACAACAGTAACTGATTTTAGACACTCAATGCGATTAAGAAACAAGTCAGATCTGAACACACGGCTGGTCACAGCAGATAGATCCTTGGTAGAGATCGCTTGGCACTTCCCAAGAAGCGGCAAATGGGTTTGAGAAGGACCGTATCTAGTCTCATCTGATGAGGCATGTTTACCTCAATTCACCAAGACGCCGCGCCAATCCAGCAAAGGGTGATGAGCAGTTTTCCTCGGCAGCCCGTTGCGAAGAAGATGAGAATGGAAGGTCTACAAGTTGAGTTTCCCATGTCAATCAAGAAGCCGAGAACACCAATACTTTCAGGGTGTTAATGACTTTCGAGACTCACTAAAGGGGGAAATCAAAACATGAAGAGGAATCGCAGAGAACCAGGATAGGTGTGGCCACTAGTAATTACAACCCAGACACCGACCCAGTGATCAAGTTGGCGGCTGTGGGGCAGGAGAGTCACATAGAAGTATTGAGTATTGCATGTAATCTTGAGAAGTGTGGTGTCACCGGCTCAAGGTCAGTCACACAAGAGAGCCCAACAACTGCCGTTAGAAGTCCACTGTGGTATATTCAATATCTAAGTTGTCCCCACCAAAGCGAAATATCCAGCAACATAGACGTTGGGTGTCCCCAATATGTATATGAGCCAGAATCACTTTTGCCAATCTACTGAAGCTCCTTGAAGTAAAATTGACAGATCTCTGACGCCTCGGCATGATGTCTTCCAACTAGCATACCCTCCATAACCAACCGAGGGCGTGGTCCATTGATAGGGATTGGAGGGTGTCCACTTCGGGCAAAGGGGACGCCCCGAGGCATCAATATCACCACACTCTCGTCATTCTCTCCCTTGTTTCCATCCACTAGGTCAATCGGTTTGGCGTCCCTATTCACTGAGCTAACGAAGCGGAGGGTCATCGGGGCACTGCGCATGCCGACAGCCATAGCTAGGTTCCAGTGTCGTGAGGAACTCAAGGTGAGCACGTGGTAGGGACATTTATGCAGGTTGATCTGACCAGCCAAGTCATTATAGTTGCCTTTGTGGATGATGGCACCGCCGCAAATCTGGTTGCTGTCCATGACGTTGGTTTGTGGTCCTCCATCTAGGTTGACGACTTGTAGTCCAACCAAGTTACCTTGGTTATCGACGATGGCGATGGGCTTCAGTTCGCGAACCTGCTCTGGTATGCGCCCAAAGGCGGGTAGGGTGGAGATCGATAAATAGGTATGCTGTCTTCCCAAAGGGGCCATATTCTCAGTCTTCTCACCGTCTTGAGGGTTCTGGTTAGGATCCATGTTGGGTACGAGGATCTTGGGACGCCGGGGCTGCAACAAGGAAGAATAGGGTCAAGTTGACAGATGCAGAGAGGCAAGTCAACGAAGCTGCTCAAATCTATTGGTCAGAAATGCGTCATGAACATGGCTGTTGACTCACCTTTCGTGACAGTTGTTTCGCTCAAGGCAAGTTCCTACTGTGGATTGACTTCGTAGAAAGATGGTGGACGGAAGGTTGGTGTGTGGTTGGTTGAGGGTGATGGAAGAAGTAGCCCTTCTGGATTTGAAATGAGGGCTTAAGTAGTAAAGTTGGGTTAATTCAATACTCTAGGCAGCTTCGGTGAATGGAATCAAGATGAAAGTCACGGAAGAGCAGTTTGTGAAGTGTTTGGCAAGTTTGGCAGTACTTTTGCTAATTGACATGGCCATAGATGGTGATCTCTTTATGCTACACAAACGGCAGGCAACAAAGACAGATGTCTACATGCATGGACTTGTGTACCAAACAGCCAACCTTCCTATTCTGAGACTCATCAAACAGACACCAGCGGACCAAAGAAAACGTGCTGCCCCACGCCATTCATCTGACCTGTTTCAATGTGACCGAGTAGACGTCCCCATGTCAGTATTCCACCATCCACCTCCTCCAAGACAAGTGCCTTCTTCACCACCTCGTCGCTATCTGACAAGAGTGCGCGATCCTCTCGACAGGGAAGAATAAAGACAGGAGATTGGCCTGTCAACTCGCGAGAGCACATTGAGATGTTGTTTCTGAGGCCGGCGTAGTCGTGAGTATCGGCCACACGAAGGCGGAGAGTTCCTTTGCGCTTGGCAAGATTGGGGTTGATCTCGAAACATGGGCAGAGTCTAACGATCATGAAGGAGACGTGCGGAGTATTGGCGAGTAACATGGCCGTACGGCAAGCATTTCTGATGCCGTCCTTGGTCCCATAGTAAATCATGGCGCCAGGACAAACGTCAGACGGTGTCATGGCATTGATGACTCTTTCGCCAGCTGCATTTTCCAGATGCAAGCCCCAATGTTTCTCGTCGCTGAAAACAGCAACAAGCTTGAGATCTGGTATAACTTCAGGAGAGAAGTCGTCTGGCCAGTCGTTGTCGATAGCGTGACGGATCTGAACAGCACCGAAACGTTGAGACGTGGAGATTCCAGGTTCGTGGAGAAGAATAGCTTAATGGGATTAGACAGAGTGAAGACGCGAGCTGGAATTATTACTTACAATGGTTTTGTTGCGACATATTTCAGGCACCTTTGCGAGAGCGTTGATGTGACGATGGAAGAGGAAAAGAGCTGAGCAGAGTGGAAGAAGAGAGGCTACTCGAGCCAGTCATAACAGACACCTAAAGGTGGGGCGGTTGAATCACTCCAGATCGGCTGCCACCTGCTTGGCACTCTCCTCTGTACACGATTGATACAATTGGAGACCTGAGAAAGCACAGCAGTTTGTATTTCCTCATACAAGAATGAACCAAACTCACCAGCGTGTAACATTGAAGTCATTACAAAAGTGATCCTCACGATCAGGACAACATTAGGGGTTCAATCACGAGGAGAGATCATCCACTGACAAAGCGATCAATCTATTGTCTGATAACTGCCTCTACCAACTGTAGCCATAAGATCCCCAAAGGAGGACAATACACCTCGAGTTAATATCTTGTCGTCAACATGTCAGATATCAGACGCCCCCCCTGCGGCGCTCGATAACCCAACAAGCACCGGTTCCTTCACCCCCATCCACAACCTCCTCAAGCATCAGCGCCTTCGTCGGCCGAGAACCAGAAAACGCTTCGTCAAAGGGAACAATGATGAACGCCTTGTCATACTCGCAGTCCTGTATGTTGGTGCGCCCCTTGTTCTGAGAGTTGACCTCACTTCGATCGACGAAGCTGAACTTGATCTCGATCTTGCGATAGCCCGCAGGACGCTTAGACCCCATGAGGCCCTTGCTGGTGATGGGCAGAGGAATGGTGTCAATGACGCTGCCATTGCGTAGACCGAGTACTGCAGATTCGATGGCGGCTGGTATACCGTTGTCGTTGCCCTGGTAGATGACGGCCCCTTTGACGAGGTCGGATGGCGCGACCATGTTGCCGGTCTCTCCAGAAGGGCTTTCGAAACGGAGACAGCAGAGGAGGTCGCCGGCGACGATGGCGGTGGCTTTGAGCTCTGAGACCCTCTGGAGGGAGCTGGCGTCGCCGGGAGGCATGAGGCCGGTCGGGGTCATGATCATTGGGGTTGGGCGGCGCATCTGGCGAACAAAGTCCTCAAAGGTGAAGGAGTCCTCCTTTTTGACGGGGGTTTTGTTGTCCATGTTTGCAGTCAGATGAATCTAGAGCTAAGTTAGAGTGAATGGAATAAGGGAGTGAGAATGTGAAATACCTTGCGTCGAGATGTGTTTTCGAATGCAAAAGCAGTGTTGAGGAGAAGATGGCGGAGAGAAAACAGCCGGGCAGAAGGAGACTTTACATACAGAGCTTTGCGGTACCTAATCTCTCAGTCAAGCGAGAGGGAGTGGGCCCTTATGGAGTATGAAACATGATGATGATCTTTGTGCCACTTCAACCCGCTTGCATTACACAAGAAAGGCAGCGCATACTGTAAAGGAAACTTTGTGAGATGGAAACAATGAGGATTAGAGTTAAAAGAGGCGAGCAACTTTAATTAAAGGTTTTCACAAAGCCTTGATCGTTTATGTCCAACGTTACAGAACAAGCACAAACGTTACAGCGTTGTGAATGAAGTTGTCTCGACATCCGGGGAGGTTGGGTGATGCCTTGTGGCGTTGAGATTGGTGAAACACATCAAGGCATCTACAAAACGTGATAAACATATTTGCTTGAGGCTTTTTGTGTGCATGTGAAAAAGAAACGCTTCACAAACCAGTCCAATCTGTTGGAATCATTGAAAAGAGAGTCGGGTCGAGTTGACATTGCCATCTGATTCTGTAGAAAAACATGGTGCAAGGACAAACGAAAGCTTGGTTGCCATCCATCTGCGGAGTAGTCTTTTGAGTCTCCGTATGCACTGTAAGCGAAGCCCGGAGCAAATCCCAAACAGAGCGCAGATATGAGCCTCTGTAAATTTTCCACCTGCAGCAACCCGCGCTGTGTAACCACACCTAACAATCTCAACGCACCGCGCCACGAAAAAAAAACTTCACTCTTCACACAAGCAACAAACAGCGCTCGCGATGGCACAGAGACACTATCTCGAGTGCTCACCTCGCAGACGTCCCTTTGAGGAGCCTACCGGCAAGCGCTACACCGGACAAATCCCTACCCCCGAGGCTCTCGAGCAACCTGGTGTCCGCCGCCGCCACATCACAGAATACATCGCTTTCATACGCCCTGAGATCAGCCACATCATCACCGAGTATGGCAGAGCGGCTATCAAGAGAGTATGCCAGGAACTTTACGCTACTGGCGTGCGAGCCACGCCGTCTCCTTGGTTTGGGCTGATGTGCGAGCGCATCATGTGGAAGATGTGCTGTGAGTTTTGTCCCCCTTTACTACAAGTCCCAAGAGAACTGCGCTGATTGATGTTAGTTGACCCGCTTGGGGACGATGCTCCGGAGTGGCCTTGGGCGCATGTCAAGTATCCTTCTGTACTTGCGCAAGGCGAAGAGCCGAACGGGATCTATGCGCGATACTGCCAGGAACGAAGAGTTCAAGATGAAGGAACCGCACGAATGAATGCACAGCTCAAAGCGCAAGCCGACGCTGCAGCTGCCGCTCGCGCCGCTGACCCCAACAACAAATACACCGTCACGTCTCCAGCGCCCCTTCAGAACATCGGCGAGCCACTTAGGGTTGACCCAGATCTCGACATAAGAAGAGCGCTCTGGAACCTCACCATCAGCAAGCCATTCAACGAATGCAACGCAGTCGGACCCTTCGAAGTTGAACCAAAAGTCCCACTGGAGTACTACGTCTTCAAAGACCTGGCGGCCATCAATGGGCTTTTGCCGGCTTGCATAGCTGTCAAGTTGAACATTACGAACAAGAGGGTCTTTGTCACAATTGTCGAGTCTGCGCAAGTCAACCCCGCGATTCCTGTGCGAGAGATTCTGCTTGATGTTTGGGAGGCTGTGCAGTCATGGGCGGTGATGGTCAATACAATGGGCGGAGGGGAGATGAATACTCTGTTTCAGTACTTCTTAGGGATCAGGGCGCATGGTGGGCTCTTGTGGAGAGAGAAAGCTCCTTTGCCAATGCAGCAGTAAGGAGGATATTGGTACTTAGATGTACATTTCGCTATAGACTGTAGTATCAAGAATGAAAGCGCTCACGGATCATCATCCTGTATTCTCTAGGTTCTCTCTGCCGGAATAAGCTCACAGCCACAAGTCTCAACGTCAAATAACACTTCTAGCCCAATCCTGTATTCTCATGAATATGACTATATTAGTCTAAAGCTTTGAGTAGTTTTAAGTAACCTTGAGAAACTGTGAGCAAGTTTGAGTAGCTTTGAATAAATTTGAAGAACTTTGAGGAACTTTGAAAAATTTTCAGGCGTTTTGACAGATCTGACAGCCATTTCCAGCACTCACACCATCTGGTTTAGTGGGTTAACCTGATCTCAGCACTTCCTTCGGCCGCACTTGTCTCCGTTGCCGGGTGAGTCCTTTTCACCACCCGCAACTCATCCTCAGAGCGACCCCCCAGAAGCCAACCACCAATTCCAATACCACTACACGAACTCGGCAGATATGGGGTCCATACAGAAATGGATTACTCTCAAGGCGCAAGGCAGCAAGTACCGGCGAGATATTGCATTCGCCCACGTCAAAATTGACCTCAGATACGGATCTGACCAGCACGTATGGGGCACCGTACTCGGAGCAGCTTGCGGACAGAGTCACGCCAGAGTCTGGGTCGTCGGACCGGATACTCAGACTGACATCGCCACACTGGCATGGGATCAAGTGAACTCCCTAAAGACATTAAAGGAGCATGCCTACACGGATACCTTCCAAGAGTTTTCTAAGTTCCTCCACAGCACTCGGAAGATGGAAGGTCAGAAGGCTAAAGCATGGAAGTTTGACAGGGATCGGCCACAGACTGTTCTCCTATATGTCGACCCCCTCATGAGTGCCGAATGCGCGCTCGCCATGGTGGAAACAGTCCACTGGGCCACCGACATCAGTCATGCCACGCCCGTACGAGTCATCACCGTATCCAACGCTGCTCTTCCGGATTCGCTGAAGCGGTTGATACATCACTATGGTCACAGAAACATCAAAAGGTTTATTTTCAGCGGCCCTGAGGAGACACTGGAGTAGGCACGCGCCATAGACATGGTCTATGTCCCATTCTAGACGGATGGTGACATGATCAGCTTTTTGGAACGTGACTTGAAGGATGAGGACGAGAAACAGGTCGTTGTCTGTTACTCTCCCTGGGAATGGACCAGGGACTTACCTGTTGAGAATAAAGTATCAATCCGGCGAATGGCTGAAGACAACTCGCTGAACGACCGATTGAAGGGCCTGGAAACAATTCCTAGTCGTGATATCCGCACATATGAGCCCAAGCAGGTTGACAAGAACAAGTACGTGGTTACTAGCAAAGAAGACCGTATTATCCTTCAGATCCCCCCAGGATATCGCCAGCCCTCTCGTCTTGACAGCTTTGAACAGGTCCATCTGTGCCTGAGCCCCTTCCGCGAACAAGTCATCTTCGATCCACACACTGAGCGACTGGCCCGGATGAGGCTGCTTACGTCCCAGGAAGAACGACGCGAGCAGGTTTCTTTGGCATATCGCACAGGCAATGTACCCTTTCGAGTGGCAATGTACTGCGATGAAGGAACAGTTGACAACTTTGTTGAATCCGGGTCACCTGAACGGCGTCTGAAGGTTTGCAATGAACATGCTCCGGGCTTCTTGTTGAGTCTTGTCATTCTTATGGACTGGGAGATCGACATCCTAAAGATCATCTCATGTTTCTTTCCCACAGAGCAGCAGAAGTCAATCGTGGACAAAATCCAGTATGGGTTCTTATACCAGCATGTTGCTCGTTATGTAGCCGAAGACAGCGACGACGAGGATGCCTACACCGCTGAAGAGGATAGCATCTTTAATTCACTTGGAGATTTGATCGAAGACAGAGAATCCATTGTCCGACAGCTTCTACCGATCCTCGATTTTGACTATCGCCTCGCTGTCTTCCTTGCGCGACCTACACAGTCTTGTAAGGTCTTCAAAGCCAAGCTTCAACTCGCCGCAATCCTGACCGTGGGCATCGACAAACTCTTCAATTTCCCCCACAGAGGAACCATGTCACATGAAGAATACAGGGATTCTCTCATTGAGGCGTGTCATGGTTGGACCTCGCCGCTTGCGCATACAGGCAGCATGTGGCTCGCCGTGGGTTTATGGAAGCATGGCGCCACGATAGTCGGAGACCACAACATGGCTGACTTGAACGAGGTTAAAATACCTGGGACTTCGGTGACCATGAATTTAGACGCCTTCAATTCCGTCCAGCGGGTCCTCACTGCATTATCAAATACCTTCATCTCCTCATTCATCTCTGTTCTGCCTGACTTTCTTGCTGAGACCGTTGAGATGGATGACTCCGAATGTGAAGAGATCCAGCAACATCTCGTGTGGGCTTATATCCATCAGATCGTGGAAACAAGGAAATTGCCCGACGGCAAGATTGTTCACCAACTGGGTGCCAGCTCCAGAGAGTTCCGAGGCGACTTTTGTATCACGCTACCTCCATGGGCGTTTGACGACACTGACTATGACAATCTGCTTGAGGAAGATGGCTCGTGCGACGAAAACATTGAATGCATCATGGGTGTTTTCCACGGAATGTCCCGGGAATTTGGAATGTCGAATGTGTATCTCGACGACTGGACATATATCCCTGAGCCAGCGCTTCGGAACGTGTGCTTGGAAATGGAGTACTCGGATCTTCCAACTTGCGAACCCAACCTGCCTCGAGATGATGAGGAGGAACAGGCTCTCTCTGGTGGTTTTGAATAAGCTGTTGTCTGGAAGGGTCCTATCAGTCGATTGCCCTATCACAGGGAAACGTATCACAAGAAAACTCTCTGAGTCGGCAGGTGGTTGTGTTGATGGATATGTGGTTCGATGTCAGAGAGTTGGAAGGATTTGATCCGGTAATTGGTGGGCAGTTCTCAGTGGGTTAAGATGAAAGGAGCACGATATAATGGCCCATGAAAGACGTCACATGAAGTAGTAATTGAGAAACCACGCTTGCGCTTATGATGCAGTGATGAGATTCGCTCGGGCTTGCTGTAGACACCAAATCTGGAGAATACAGTGAGACGCGATAAGAGTGTGCCAAAACGGACTTTACAACACGGCAGTGAGTTTCAACTTATCAACGATTGCTACGCTGCGAAAAAGGACCGCGAAATGAAGTCGTCAGCACGGAGAAGCTTGTCGATCAGAAGGAATGTCATTATGATGATCCTTTGTCTTTACGCGCCCCCAAACCTCAAGTCGCCTATGAAAGATTTCACTGAACAGTCTGGGATATACTACAAACACCAGCGTCTTCATTATTCCTCCCCATTGTCTGTTTGAGAAATTCGTAGCCTATGCCCCATTTACACCACGTTGCTATGTAGTAGTCGAAGTATCCTCAGTGCTCCCCCCCAATCTCAAGTCGCCTCTGGAAAGTTTCGCTGAACTGTCTCCCAATCCTTGGTGGATGGATCGATAGGAAGTCCCACGCGTCTGTTGGTGCCAACTTTGTCCAGATCCCCCTGGAAGGACTCAGCAGACTTATAAATCTTCTTAGTGAACCCGGTAGTCCAAGGAAAGCTGTTTGGAGGTTTGTGGCCATCGGCGACAGCGGCACGGACGACATGAACCCAGCCCTGTGTTGGCAGGAAAAAAGGCATGTTGGCGCGCATCTGGATAGCTTCGAGCAGCATGGCTAGATCGTGCTTTGTATCCGAACAGTTGGCGAGGCTGTGGTTGAGGGTGTTGCACCATGGGCATCCTTTCATGAGACCGGTCACGGAGCCTGCTTTCATGCAGATGTTGAGCCGGTGAGATGATGAGCCGCAACCAGCACATGCCGAGCCATTGGTGGCCGGGAGGCTCAGAGAAGTGATATCCGTGGTAGATGTTGTGCAGGATGTTCCTGAAGCACGGCTTAGTCTTTGTGTCGAGGCGCGCGTTGGGAGAACTGGGAAATCCGTCTCACGTTTCAGAGTAGCCGCGTCTTCATCATCCTCAGAGTAATCAGGTCCTATCCCACTGTGGTAAGGTTTAAGTTTTGAGAGAGGCTTCAGCCCCTAGGGCACAAAGGTAAACCCATACGGGTAAGATGCTCGCCGCCCTCACTGCCGCCTAGGATCGTGCTATTGAGTGGTTCTATCCCACATGTGTTAGTAAAATGCCATCGAGCAATCTTGGGAGCGACTTACTCTGCCTGCGAATGAACCTGGTCCGCTTGGGACGTTTGCGAACGGCATTAGCAACCTCGTTGATCAGCGCCTCGGCACTAGTTCGCTTGGGCGACTGTTCCTCTTGGGCTACCATCTTCTCAAGGCACGGTGTGCGGTGTTGATGTTTGGCATTTGTTGTTCTGTGTTGACACTGACCAAAACAGAGGTACACTAGAAGAGACCCACTTATGGCTGTTCATCGCTGCCTCGTTGATTCACTCAGCAAGCCTCTGAGATGTCAATGCGACGCGATCTGCGAGTACTAGAGCCCCCTATTTATTTAAACTTTCGGTTTCGGTCTCGGTAACGGTTCCCAGGATCAGTCTAAATTTAGCGTCATTCAACATCCCTCAAGTATAACCCATATTTTCCCTTTCCTAGATCTTTCTCTTTCTTCGGGCTCAAATCGACCTGCATATTCGTCATTTCATTTTGATCAAGTCACTTGATATGGCGGCCTTTACACTTCCGGATCCTCCGTCTGCAAACGAGACCAATCTTGCCATTGCAGAGCTGGTCCTCTACGCGATTCTTTTCATCTCGGCGGTACCGCTTGTTTGGAAACATGGAAAGGCCGGCATGACCTGCTGGCCGATATTTCTGTCGTACTTCCCACTTCGGTTCGTTGCCGATGGGTATCAGATTGCCAAGCGCAATGATCCCGAGATTCCCAATGCGGTCATTATCATGACTACCGCCGGAAGTATTGCTTGTCTGTCGCTGACAATAATTGGGTTGATCTATGAAGTGTAAGCTTCGACTCCCTCAAACTGGTTGGGCATATGACTGACAACGGCTTAACATTTAGAAACGTCATACTTCCACTACCCCCAAAACGATGGACCGAACGAATCCTCCTCGCCGTCACTCATCTCTCCATCACCGCAGGCATCACACTGTCCACATATGGAGGAGCACCCAAATTCGGAGCCCCCGGCGGCGTCCTCTCACGGCATCTCAACCAGATCGGCACCTGCATGATGCTGTTCGTCATGATCTTCGGTGTAGGCTGGTGGCTCTGGTGGACAGGAAAGCGCGTCACAGCCATGAAGTCGCACCCAAACTTCATCCCCGCGAGATTCCTGCTACTCACAGCATGCGCGGCGTTTCCATTCCAGCTTGTTCGGCTGGGCTATACCTTGACGTACTCCTTCACCCCATACTCGAGCTTGGATCCTGTTTCTGGAACGTTCGCTACTCGGCTGGTGCTTATGTTTGGTATGCAGATGATTGTCGCTGTAATTGTTACAGTAGGGGGCTGGCGGGGTACTGGTGCTGTGCCAAATTCTGCTCAGAGTGGCGCGCGCCAGGGCTTTGGGAGTGTCGCGAACCCGTGGGTATAAAGTTGACAGTCTTGTAACTTGTCTTTTTTTTCTTTTTGCCATCATCTGCACGGAGAGGCTGGGATATATCTAGCAATGTACTGTCTTCAAGGGTGTGAAAAGATGTAAGCTCTTACGACTACATCGCCCACTATCCGTCATTGAGATTCTTCCATCTTCTTAGGTGAAGTTCATCAGTGGCAGTCAGAATTCGTGATTTTAAGGCTCTCTTTATAAAGGAGACAATTCAGGGACTTGTACCAGATCTCATAGTGGTGATTATGAAAGTGATTCGCTCAGGACTTGCACTAAGAAGTGAGGATACTCAGAAGACCTGACATGGTTTTATATTGAATATGGCAAGAGAATTCAGGAGCTAACGGATTTAGCTGACTGCGATCAATAATAATATAAGGTAAAGAAAACAGGGACTATTGTCATTAAGCAGTCTGTAATAGAACAAGTCCTTAAACTCTAAGAATCGTCTAGGTTCCCTCTCCCGGGATAAGCTCACAGCCACAAGTCTTAACTGTAAATAACACTTCTAGCCCACAACGCTAAGAATCGTCACGAGCTTTACAGAACAACCAATAAGCAGTCACACGTCTCTATCGCCGCAGGCATGCTGATATTATATCCAAGTCATAAGCCAGATAATAGCAGTAAAGGCTTTTGGCTATCGAATTGAATTACTGTAAAAAAAGCCTAAGGAAACAGGGAAGCTTTGCTATAGTAAGCTTGGTCATTCGACGTCTGGGTAGGAATTGTTCCTGACGCTCTTTACGGTTCGAGGGAATCTGAGTCGTCAGAGTTAAGGTTCTGGCAACCAAGTCCGGTATGGTGTAGTGGCTANNTGTACCGGAGTTTCCTTTTGCCGAGGGGTCCAATTAATCTTTTGTCAACTTGCGAGCATTTTTCTGACTTATCGGCCTTCCAGCGCAATCCTTTTTATTAATACTCTACCTAACTTGGTAGCCTAACATCATTCTCTTTCTGTGCCTACCGCCAACGTAGATCATGATCTGTGTACCATTGATTATACCACTCGATTAGTTTCGGGTTGGCCGTGACAACTTGATAGAATTCCTCAAGTGCGTAATGTTCAAACTCCTCTGCTGTAAGACTCTTCAACATGGCAAGTCGAGGATAGCCGCCCATGACAAGATGGATGGTATAGGCCATGTCTTGTAACGGACTCCGGTTCAAGAACTCATCTCTTCGCAGTTTCCACCTTTCAGGTATCTTAACGGGTTCCGGCTGCCGGGGGGAAAGAGAGAGATGAAGTCGGTTAATAAAACTCGATATCCTTTGAAAATAGTAGAGATAATAGTGTCGGGAAATCTCTCAACTGAAGGGTCAGGGTGATGGAGAAATGGGCTTGAAAACTTTGTCTTTACATCATTCAAAGTACTGAACAGAGACTGGTTTCGATACCAAAACATATTGCAATAGCAATCGAATCTCAGAAAGCTCTCAATAAATCTGAACTTGTGATAACACGGGGCCTTTTCCAGAAGAAAGTGGCTGCTGGGTCTCTGCGTCAAGGTGTGATGCTTCCCTTGATGGTGATGATAGGCAAGGCAAAGCTCGGGTACTAGATTTTGAGCCTTTTCCAGAGTTGGGAGATCTAGGTAGCCTGCGATTGGTTGTCTGATGCATTCCTCTGATTCAATGGAATTCAGTGCAGGTTTGAGCTTTTGCTCTAATTCCGAGTGTGTCAGATCCTGTGACTTGGCACGAAGAGCGCGGAGATCCATGGTGAATGTGACAAAAGGCAGAATACGTTCATCCCCATAGACTTGAAGCAGTTCTTGCATATGATGCCTTAAAAGAGAGGCCCGGTGTCTTCGGAAGGTGCGTAGTAGAGCAGGTGAGGCTGAGATCAGATGACGGATATCCTGGAGTGGGGTTTGGTTGAGTATTTCCATTCTCAATTCAGGTGGCAGGGCCGAGAAGAAATCTTCGCAGCCTTGATGCTGCGCTTCCTGTCGGGAGGTCATGTTTGATGGTGCGGGGGTAAGAGTATGCCAGAAGAACTGGTGGCGTCTCTCTTGTTTAAATATGTCCACCGCAACAGTATGGCTCAGCTACTTCTGGCACATGATCGACCCTGCTGGTTCATGCGTGTATAAACTTCAGATGGCGCTACAGAGTTTGGTCTCCCTAAATGCTATTGCTGAAATCCGAACACAGAAAAGTATAAACGGCCAGTGGACTATAGCATTGGCTTTTGGGTCAAGATCGTCCTCCACTTTTCAGGCACCCACTGGTCTTAAAGTTGGTGACTCCTGGTACATGAACTATTTGGCTTGTCTCGAGATGTGCCGAAGTGGCTGGGTTCTCAGAACTCTTGTATGATCATGGTTTGTCTCCATATCGACTGGCTGTGAGTTATTCCATGATGTCACCAAGGTTGGCCACAATGTTTCAAATAATCTGGCAATATCAGCAGTTCATTTCTACAACACTATGGCATTTCTACTATTGCCAAACATTTCCAACTTTGCTTATCTGTTGGTTGGACCAACGTCAAGGGTCAAGGCTATTCAGATTCTCCCTCTCCTAAAGCTGCCAACCCCGCAGTCAAGCAGTCTATTTCCATAACCACCTCGCATAGAGAACAGCTATACCAGGTTACAAAGCACCTCTGTCCCGCTACTGCCTTTTATAGCCCCAAAGAGTGAAATGCCGATAAAAGTTGTGATAATAAAGCCTTTTGTAGGCTGCCCACGCTTCATATCTCCGTAGGTTCGACACAACAAGTTCTTCGAACTCCTCCTCCAGAGTTTTCAATTGCGACTCAGGGGAGAGTTGTTCAAAAAACATAAGTTTGGGATAGCCTTGCATTAAAAGACGATGCACGAAGTAGTGTTCCTGGTCCGGAGTACGATTCCGAAAATTAATCATGGCCGTTTCTGCAAGATACTCCTTCCACGCCCCCTTTGGCCAGACAACGCCTTTAGTACGGCGATGATACCTTCTGTCGAGCTCCAGCATGATTTCGCCATATCGGTGATCAATCTTGCCCAGAATCGTATAGGGGTACATCCGCAGAATCTCATCATCGAATTTCGGAAACGGGGGAAACGAGTTCAAGAAGGCATCCTTGATACAAGCACGTTCCTGGAAAAGGCCTTGATCTTTGTGATGGAGTATGTCCCAGAAATTCGAGAAGACGTCCGTCATCGCAACCTGTTCCTGGAAAAGGCTTTGGTTTTTGTGATGGAATATGCTCCGGTAGCAATCGAATCTTAGGAATCCGTCGCTAAAAGCTGCCCTTAAGCCCAGGGGGGCCTTGTCCGGCCAGAGCGAGCCAGGGCTCCGATGCTGAGATTCAAGTTGATACCATTCCCACGGGCCCATTGTGAAAGCGCCGATGATCTCGGGCAGGAGGTCTTGGGCTGCATTGGCCATGTAGAGGTTAATGTCGCCTCTTTCCTCTACCGTCTTTGTGTTCAACCACAAGATATAGTCCATGACAGGCTTGATGTGCTTTTCTAGGACCAGGATGGTATCTCCGTCGTGCTTAGAATGCAGCTCACGAAGATGCATAGCTGCCGCTGCGAGGTGAAACAATGAGATGTCACCATAGCTAAGTTGGACCTCTCGCAAGTGTGGCTCTAGAATATACTGGCGATTGCCGGTTAAGGTGCTTGACAGCATGGGCGAGCACGCGGTGGCAGATCGCATGTCGTGGAGGGAAAGGTGCTTTAGTATCTGAATGTTGATCTCGGTTGGGAGTGCAGAAAAAGGATCTGAAGATAGCCGATGGCCAGACGCCTGTGAGAAAGCCATATTGCGATGGCAGTTGATCGTGTTGTTTGTTTCGATTGGGTTCATCGATACCGATGAAGAGGACAAAATTAAAAAAGAGAAAAGGACGGATTCTGTTACATTTATACTCGAAGGAGAGGTGATTGTATGACGCGCAGCAGAATTTGTGGGAAGCTTAAATATCGAACAAATGTTAACCTACAGCATACAAGATCAATGATTCCTCGCGATAAGGTTAGGCTTTAGGCTTCCAACACAGAATAAAAAGTATAGAATCTCAACGATTGGAAAGTATTGAAATTGAAGATTCTTCATACATTCAGTTTGCAAGACGCGAGACTTTGTTGTAACAGTGAATCATACATTTGGGCGTGCTTATGTCTTCCACATGCTTCTATGCCCTCACATCCAGACTGATCGAAAGTACCGATCGGCCTTAATCTTGACATTGGCCTCAATAGGCCGTTCTCCGATGGTTGGAGACTTGATAGAAAAGCGCCCAGAGCAACTTACCCTACTGTGAAGCACAACGGCGGCTCTGGAGCCGTAGTCATTGGTCAATCGCGTCCCGACAGTTTGGTAACGCTAAAGGTTCTGCGAATCACGGATAGTCTTGCTATGGGACTTTGTCTCAATCCGTGACTAGTGGTATGTCTAGCGCCCGGGCAGGGCTGTCCAAGGAAACCAGCATTAAATCACGCAACTGACTTGGCACCAGACGCCCAGGCGTCGTCAGCCAGTAGCTGGCAGGCATTACAGCGACAAAGGTTGCAAGGGCCGAGCTGCTCAAGATAAAGCTGAGCATAGCGACTCACAAGCCTCGATATCATACGATGATCGCCAGCTCTTCACTACGAATGCAGATGCACTCTTTCAAACCCCTAGAGAATTGGGTTTGTTAGCGGCGTGATATCATCAAATCCCTGTATAGTGGAGTCTTGACGACCAATAGCTGACTGTAATGATGCCGGAAGCGCCCATCCGTCCTTACCCTTGTCAACATCCCCTCGAGTTTAGGCAACGCTCTCATCACATGAGCGACTTACCATGTGTGCCATGCAGTTCGCCAGGGTACCCGATATGAACATGTTCCTGAGGGGTTTGACAATAGAACATGGTAGAATGTAATATGTTTAGTACGTTGTTTTGCGTCTAGAAGCGGACGCTTAGTTGCCTCCTATTTACAGGTAAACCTTTCCTGTTTCTCCATCATTGTTCTGTTTGTTTGCTCCATAGTACACCATAGAATCCGGTTAGCTAGGTGTTGTGAGATGGTGGCAGAAGGCAGCCACACCAAAGTCTGAGCAAACAGGGATATATATATAGAACCGACATAAATAATCAGCGCGGCCTTGCAGTCGCTCAATTACCCCTCCTCGCCGATCTCTACTTTCCAGCTTCTCAAGTTACCCAGAAATAATCACCATGAGTGACGTTACCCATGCAGCGATTGCCAAAACAAAGATTCTCAAGGCACTTTGTGAGCAATGGACCCTCGAGATCAGCGAAATCAAGAGCCCCGAGACAGAATACAGAGAAAAACGTCAAGTGCTGCTAAGAAACTATGACAAGGAGATTTGCCAACTGGGGAAGCACTCTCCTGATACCAATGAGTATGCAAGACGATCAGATGCGGTTCTTAAATTTGCTGGTGACCTTAGAGAGCTAGACATCGAATATCACAGTTCAGTCGCCCTGCTGGAACGGCAGTTTGCAGAACGCCTGGAGACCGCCAACAAGAGGCTTGCTTGCGATTCATTCCAGACTTTGGGGGATACTCTATGGGATCACTCGGTTTCAACTGTATTACACCAGTGCCTGAGTTCCAAGACACCAATGGTCGCGGATACCGGTGTAAAGGAAGGATCCAAAGCGTTGCTGGAAGCTCGAAGCGAAAAGGAATCTAATCTTAACATCACAGCTGAAACACTAATAGACTTGGAATCGGGTCAGAATCAGAGTTTACTCCCAGTGACAGGAAACTCCAAGCACCAGGATCGGGCTTTAGCGCAGGCGCCAGCTTTGACAAAAGCCAGAGTCTTGGTCCAAAGTGAGACTATGGATCATTCCCAGGTCACACTTCATCAGACACCGATCCAAGAACGTGAGCCCGCATTACAGTCAAACCTAGTCACGGACGGACAAGGCGCTACTAGCCCAGTGGCGATTCAAGCCTCAACCCCAAACCGAACTACCGATGCGAGCCGACTTTCAGAGAATGTTGTTGACCCACAGGCAAGATCAAGCTCGAGAGCGATGCCAGCTTCGGAGACGAACTTGGATCAAAATGGAGGGAGAGCATGCTTGGACATGTGGCCGTCTTCTCAGATCCCAAATCAGTCGGCATCATTTGTTAAAGGCACAGAGACTCTAAACAATAACCCTGGTGAAGAATGGACTGATTCTCTTGTCGCCCATCTTCGCGCTCCTTTGAAGAGGCTTCAGGCGGAAGCATCCAATCGAAAACATAAACGACAAAAGCCGCCCATCGAGCCCCTTAAGATCCCCGAAGAACAAGTCATCTCTTTTGATCAAGTCTTCCAGGATGGAAACGCCCAAATCAAGTACATCATTGTTCAGCATCCTCCAGAGCTTGGACACTGGTACATCCTGGAATGCAAGGAACATAACAAGCACTTCTACCAGGATCCAATTCAAGGGGCTACTCGGCACCTCATCGGCCAGGAGCATGGGATAAGCGGGGATCATTCCCTTGCAGTCAAGATGCTCGGAGCCCGTGTTCTTGACTGTAACGAGAAACTGGCTGCGAAAACAATTGGTTAACAAGACGGTCGTTTCCTCAGGTTGCCGGACCCATGAGTGTGACACCAGGAAACCGAACCAAAGAGTATCTAACACAGGAGGTTGGAATCATCCCTGTTGTTGGCGAGGTATACGCTGCCAGGTATCCTACAAAGAGCCATACCTGTGCAGTTCTTGTTCTCCCATGGACAGCCTTTGACCATTTTCCACGCATGAAACAGCTACTGAGAGACACTCCTGCATGCTTTCTCTTTGACAAGACGGTTGATCAGTGTCCTCGAGGCTGGGCTAAGGGTTACGAGGACGGAGGCCACAGATTCAAAGAAAGGGCTTATCCTGTTGTTTACTTTCACAAGGACAAGTTTCCAGAACAATGCAATGTTGGTTGGGTTCCTATAACAAGCTTTAAGGCATACAATCCTGGGCATACTGAGGTTGTTTTCCCTAGGATTGTGGACCAATATCTCCGGAACAAAGATCCTCGATTGACAGCCAACCACGGTTACTCAACAGCCAACAGTATTGTCATACCAGACGACAATGACCATGAGGATGCACACATGGAACACGGGAACGGCGAAATGTCTGGTAACGCTTCCAGAAATGAGAGTCGTTTGCGCTTGAAGGTTAGCGTTCTCCGGCCCGAATGTCCATGCAAAGTCAATACTAACGAATAAAGGATAAGCGACTTGTGGAGAACACAAAGCTGCAGGCAGAAAGCAGTACTGCCGACCTGAAAACTTCCTACAACTCTCCTTCACAAGGGGATGGTACTGTTGTCCCCCGTTCTCAAACTCATACCCAAGAGCCAACTACTACGCCTGGTCAGATGGCAAGGATCGAGTATCCCTTCGTCAGCGGCGGGTCAGAAGACGTGGAAAAGGCGGGATCTACAACAGGCCACGTAGCTACATCGACATCCAAACAGCCGATTGTCAACCTCGCGGAGCTCGGTGAGGTACATGCCGATAGCGCTTTCAACAGACCAGCTCCACGAAACGAGGATACATATAGCCGCGTCTCACTGAGGCCATCCTAGGGTAATGATGTAGAAGTAATGGTAGCTGAGTCTCGAGCAGAGCTCTTGTCGCTGGGGCCAGATATTAGTAGTCACACCCGTTAGTGTAAAGAAGTTTTACAAGAATCGTAAAGACGCCGAGGGCTTTGGTGATAGTATAGAAACGGGGACTACTTAGATAAGATAGGGTATGAGGTCCAGCTCTATGCTGTTTAATGCTATTAAAGGCTATAAAGATTAGCTTATCAAAAGGAATAGAGAGTACAGGAATGATGGAAACTTGTGTTATGAAGCGTTTGTTTGCTATTCATATCGCTTCAAATACTCCATCAACATCGCCCACGAGTCTGCTGATAAGTCACCACCAAGCCACAAATTCCCATCCCCATCCCGTCCCATATTGATCCCGACTGATACAGGAAATATCATAGGCGTAAGCTTTCCCATATGATAATAATTCGGCCTTGCAGGTCCCCCGCTCCCTCCTACAACCGCAGGTCCAAAATCAGTCTTATCCAAGAACCCCGACTTGGCCCAATTAGACGACATAATCATTGTACTTGCCGTATCACCCACAATAGGCGGGTTTCCACCTTCGATCATGGACTTGTAAGCTGCCTTGGCTGCAGCTTTGATCTGTCCTTCGGTCAAGTACTCGACGACGGCTTGGCGGGAGAGCATGGCGACTTTTCCGAGGGGAAGATCCTGTGCGTCTTTGACGGGACAGTAGAAAAATGCTCCGCAGGGTGCGTTTTGGACGTATGCTGAGTCGGGAAGGAAAATGCTTTTGAGACGATCGCGGGGGTTGACGGCGATGAGAGTGACGATGGCTCGACCTCTGCCCATACTCTTGGCGACAGAGCGGTTGAAGAGGGCCAGTATGACATCGTTCTCTGAAACAAATGGCTTGCTCCCGTCTGTAGTCTTCTCAAGCGAAATTTCACTCCTGGCTTCGGCTACTATGGCATCGATAGCCTTGGCTGGCACACGCAGCGTTCGAGTCTCGAGGGGATACATCCACCCGTCATAAGTCGCCCTAAGAGCCCAGACCGCAAGCCTCCAACCCGAAAGAAGAGAGCCGTCGGTCTTTGACTTCTCCGTGCTTTCAGCTCGGTACAGCTCAGCCATAACATCATCTTTGTATCCTGGAAACTTAGCAACTTGTTCAGGCTTTCCAGCTAGGATTAAACACCAAGCTTCAAGAACTGCTGACAATCCGCCGAGGTCAGTGGTCATATGTGAAAAGGTGAGTGATACCAGTGTCCCGTCTTGGAATGTGACAACGTGCAGTGAGAATTGCGGTGCATCGGTGGCGCAAAGGTCCTCAAATGAAGTTGGTGCACCAGGACCTATACCGATTGATTGGAAGTCGGCGGGTTCTGGAAAGAAGGCGATTGTATCTGATCTAGTGGGTAGTTTAGATGCTTCGGGGTGGTCTGCAAAGGGCATGTCATAAGAAGCCTTGGTGTAGTGAACCGCTGGTCTTTGTGCTGAATATTCCTTTGGAACATGAACTTCAGCTTTGCCCTGGTCCTGGGATTGTTAGTTAATCGCACCTGCTGGTAATGAAACCTCTCACGTTGAGGCGTATTCTGCCGCCAAGTCTTCTCCAACCGTCCATCTCAAAGAGTTTCGAGAGTGCATCGTTCAACATGTCGCCGTCGAGAATCTCATCGAATCGGATCGTCCACAGCAATGGACATTTGCGCATAAACGGCGTGTCATCAAAGGCATGCATAGGAAGTACTTGGTCAGTGGGCACTGTAGGAAACTGAGGCCGCTTGGGCGCGCCCATTAGGCTGGATATCGTAGCTCCCATCTTTGGCACTGGATTGATAGTGAAAGTACTGGGATTCTAAGGCCCCAAACTTGGGTTACAGTTTGTTCTTAAGTGAATTGGTAGTACGATTACGAGTGTCAGCATTTAGATCACAGTTAGTGAAACTTTGGCGTGAGTGGCGGTGAAGCTTGTGCGCTTTGGGATTCGTGTAATATTTGCCGAATCAGATAACATGCGGGATTGATAACTGCCGTATCCTTGAAAAGCTTTTGAAGTCGTGCAATTGTCACTTTGAAAACAAGGTCATTCTCAGGAGGCCGAAAAGTCTAATTGAGGTAGATAGGCTGTCACAACTTCTGGTTTGGGCTGGGGGGCTGGCAGACCGATGGTCAGCGAGGGTGATCCTCAGCGCTAAAAAATCCGTAAGCATTCAGGGGTAAAGATCTGCACCCCTGCCTAACAGTCCCGCCAATGATATAAGTTTGATACCACCTTACAGTGCCTTATCCCAAATCCTTACTTATCGACATTGAGTAACTATGGAAATCTTTTCACTTTTTAATGGATAGCTTCCACAAAGCCCTCTGCTGCTCATCAAGATCCCCTTCAATGCACATGGCAAGATCGCTTACAGCCCATGAACTGATCTTATGAATAGGGTGTATTAGCTCCTTGCGGTTACTTATGAGCCTATCTCTCCTCACATCTTGATTGATGGCTCTTGGTTTGTTGCCCAGAGCCATTAATCGCCTGCACTTCTCGGATCGATTCTCATGGTCTCTATACAATCCAGTAAAGGTAATTCTATTAGAACCCTTTCAATGGCGTTCCGCGAGCAAAGACAACAAGCTTCACCTCGGCAACCTCGCTGAGTTCATTGCTGCGCAGGTTTGTATGGCTTAGATCAATGATACCGGATGTAAACAGCGCAGGAAGTATTTTAGCATCACTGTCGGTTTGCGAAGCAGATGTCCAATCTCCCTGATCGTCAGTCTTCTTGATACGGAATTCGTCAGCGCAGTATTGGTGCAGTCTATCATCTGGATCCCGATCGACCATAATCGGCCCAAGTGAGATATCATATTTGACGTTGGTGAAAGCTTGTCCGTCTTTTTTGAGAAACTGCGCGCTATACATGTGCATGGTTAGTATTAGTCCCCAACGAACCTAAAGTATAGAGATACTCACCTGATTCTGTCAATTCGTAGATCATAGTATCCATATCCCGAGGGATGCTTGTATGAGATCAGAAAAGGGATCTCGCTGTTTTCTTTCAGCGATGTCTTCCACTCCGGAACAAAGATATTGTAGTCTTCATCATTCTTCATGCTAAACTCGATTCGAGGAACCGTTTGATTGTTGTGAGCACCGTAGCTTAGACTGTCAATTTGCGATACCAAATTGCGTGCGGCGGCTTCAAGGTTGTCGACAGACATCTCAGGTGATGCGCTAACGCTGATATCACTATAGCGCGAAGAGAGATACCTGAGCCTCAACAAGTATTGATGTAGCCGCAGGACTACCACTCGCTTCAGGACAACCAAGCTTCTGTTCAGGGCGCCGATATGGTTGTGAGTCGGAAGAGTATCGCTCGCAATTTCCTTTGCTGCTCTCTCGATATCTGCTTTGCGCTTGGACCTCAGAGCATTCTCAGCAACGGCGCCGAGATAGGCATCCATGTCCAGCTGCATTTGACGTTGGGCTTCGATGAGAGTTTTGCCGCGGATCATCATTTTCTTGAGGGCGGATTGATACTCTTCGAGTCCATCGATAGTATCGGAGCCTAGCTTGAATTTGAGCTTCACACAATGTTAGGTAGGAACCTTCCAAATTTAAGGCGTGCGTTTTGTGTCTAGACTTACCACGTTGAACATCTCGTCCACTTGAACAGTAATCTCTTGCAAATCTGACAAAAGTCCGAAGTAGTCAAAGGGCGGAGACGAGGCTGTTATGATCTCAGACGCTTGGTAAGTTCGGTCAGCCTTCCATCAAACAAATACTATTCCTCTGAAGTACAAACCAGTTCTGGCAGCAGCAGAAAGACTCTCGTCGATGGACTGGCGTCGGACCTTCTCTGCTTCGTGTTTAATGGCCATGTTACTGTCATATACTTTCCATGCCTTGAAGATCTTATTCCCCGCGCTCAAGGCCGCTTTTCCAATATCCTTTGCCTTATCGCTTGCCTTGCTTCCAGGCTTTTCAGGTGTTGCAGCTTTGTCGCTCTTGACTGGGGACTTTTGGACCTTCGGCGCTGGAGCTTCAGGCTGTTCGCTATTCGCCTCGGAGCTCTGATCTTGTGCCTCGCCTGATAAGCCGGCCAGGTCCACCTGTATGTAGCATTGGTATTAGATGAGTCACAATGATGGATCTGGAGGTTGGGACCTACTTGCTGCGCGGCCTCTGCGATTCCAGTAGTAGCATCGATCAAAGCAGGCATTGCAACAGCTGGATTACCCGCTTTTTGGAAACAAATCAGCTTGATATTACAGTTATCCCGCGATTAGGGATTACTTACTACACAGGGCGAGGAAAACTGCCCAGGCAATCTCGCCTACGCCCATCCAAATGGCCATTTCTAGCTCCTTCTTCTATATTTAGTGGATCCGAATTAGCATCTCAGCACCGAACAATGAGTCCATGAGTTTCAGACAAACGACTCATCACGAACCTTTTTCTTCTTATAGAGGTCAATGTTGTTTTTGAACGTAACCAGGGTAGATTTGAGATTGTCATGCCTTTCCTACTAAACGTTAGGCGGGGGAAATCTCGCTTGAGGAGGGCCGCTTACCAACATGAAACTTTTGCATTTTGCCACTACCTCGCAACTCTTGATCATGGCTTTGTAGTACTGATCATCCGGTACAGTCCCGAGGGCAAGCGTTGATAGAGCGTCCAATGCCTTAGCGTTGTCTTTCTTCAATTCTTGAGTCATATCGGTTGCGTATCTCAAGCTGTCAATCGACTGCTGGACATTACTACAGCTTGTGATGGCTTCCTTGAGGTACCTTTCATACTTGGAGGGACTTTCGAGAGGAACGATATACTCCCCAACGACTGCATCTATTGAAAATGGCCCCGGGTACCGTCGCGGTAGCTCTAAGCGCTGCAGTAACGTACTAGCATCCTGTTTCAAGGCTGAATACTCTGGTCGGGATCTAGTGCAACGGCAAATGTACGAAAGATAGGCCATTGCCTTTCTCTCTGCATGCTCTTTGTCCTCAGTATCCGAGGCACTAAGCCCTTGAAACACATGGCTGCATGCTAGAGCAAAAACATGATTGAGTAAAAGTGGAAGGTTTCCTAAGGCGCGACTGGGAAAGCGATTAGTGGAATAAAATGATTATCGAGAATGAATCCAGCTTACGTTGTATCGAAGAGCGCTGGGCCATCTGGAACGGTCAAAAGTCCTGAATCTGCAAACTCTCCGTCAGCTATTTTTACTAGTGGTCCGAAGGTCACATGTTCAAGTGAACTCCTAATCCGGAATCCGAGCATGTCCTGAGTCTCTTTTGTCGACTGAGCTGCTTCCAGCTGACTTTGGAACTGATCCTCCAAGTCTTCTTTCAATGACACAGAAGATACCCTGTTTATTTTCGGCGCGTAAGTATCGAACTTGGGACTACCTCGCGAGGTACTTATATCTTGACCATCATGAGCGGGGCAAACAAGACTCGAGGGCAGCGTTTCGAAATAGACGTCCAACTTTAGATCTTTTGACGTGCTGAGATTGAAGCTCCGAATATCGGGGCGGTCCAGAAAGGTGCAAGTGAAAATGTGTATATAACGTAGCTCGCTTGTGTGTGGTATTTCGATATGTACTGTTCCATTTTTGAGAGGTCCGCTGTGATCCAGACTGACACAATACAGATGAAGATAGCGAACAGAGCATGGCAAGTCTTCCAGTATCTTCCGTAGATCTAGGTGAGCGCCGCGGCGGAAGAACTGGGATGATTTAATTAGATAGGTACTATAGTAACCTCCACTGCTATACTTGTGTAAAAACTTACGTGTCTGCTGTATTCAGCAGTCAGGTCCATCTGCGATAAGTCGTTCTGCTTCATCATTGCTGACATGATTCAAAGTTATTGAGGAAAATAGCGGAGGTTGGCCTTTGGTTGTCGTTCTTAGAGGACAAGTTGCTCTCCGTGTGTTATGACAAAGTCAGCTTATTTAGTGGATTCGCTGTGTGTATGTACGGAGTATACGCTAGTGATTTCTAGCATACCTGGCTGCATACACGGATGCAGATCCAATTTACCTCCATTTTGGTGTCTGCCAATAGAAGTACCGGTCTGGCTCTGTCCACCTTACCCCGCTCGTCGGATATGGTCCGTTCCGCTGCCACCAAGCGATAGTGTCCTTGTGTTGGCTAATGTCCCACTGTTTCTGTTCCAGTTTGTGGTCTAGATTTCGAGTCTATTGGCAAGCCACTTGATAGTCTTGAATGCCTAGAATGCTCCAAGCAAGGTGGCTGGCTGTGTCCATAACTGTCCTCAACTTCTGCGCGTGCTATGGCATCCCTTGAATGCTGCCTCCAGCTTCAGTTTCTTGGTTATCAGCTACACATTCAGAACGAATTTCCTATTTAACAAGTGCCACAGAAGAAAACTCCATATACCACAGAATCTTATATTCACAATGACAACAGTCGACAGTCTTGTAAAGCTTTGCGAATCAGATGGGCTATCTTTCGACCGTACAACCTATATCCAACAAGCTGGCTTGGACAATATTTTCACGGCACTCGAGGGTCATACAAATATCGAGCAACTTAAGCCACTTCTATGGGATGACTCGGCAGATACCAAGGAGAAGGGCTTGCTCTCGTCTCTGAAAGCCATCGCCGAGGCAACCGACAAGTCTGTGGCCACGGCTTGGAAAGCATGTCATGGTATACAGTTTCCAACCATTCAGCCCTCCGAAGTACTGATTAGGATTAGACTCGGTCGAGGCGATACAGATGTTGAAAGAGATCTGTATCAAAACCGCATCCCCCTCGCCAGAAGTTGAAGAAACACAAACAATTATTCTTGGGGCACTCAACGAGGCCTGGGATATGCTGATCGGAGTAAATGAGTCCTTGAAAAGGGCCCGACATGGACAAGACGCATCGACTGGCTCTGTATGTTTGCTCAACCTGTCAAATTCGTGGGAGTCGATACTGATATATAGCCAGTTCCTGGACTTTCTATCCAGGCGCGATGACACTCGGCTTGCAAAGTTTATAACTGGTGTAGGTGCAGTAGAGGCGGCATACGACAAACGTTCACGAGAACGGTTCTTGCTAGAAAACTTTTACGAAGCTTTACGACTTCGCAATATGCCAGGATTGAAACTTTGGGCTGGGGCACAGTTCGCTGAAACCGGCCCAGTGCAGATCAAGAACAACCGTAAGTCTCTAGCTTGAACTGTGGACCACTTTTCAAGGCGACTGACAAACTCCTTCTATACTGTTTAGTGTGGAAAACCCATACGCAAACATACCAACCTGACTTTAGGCTCTACACCGTGTGGCTTACTCTGGTTAAGATGAAAAAGATAAACCCAGATGGGAGCATGAAAAATCACCCCCAACTCCTTGATTGTGATGAGAGACCATATCAGATAGCCAGGCGAATGGTACTCTATGTATCAAACGGTCATGTTGTCCCCACCCAGGCAACCCATATGGCATTACAAGGGTTGGATGAAGCCAACTTGGATTTTACAGACGTAGACTCTTTGAAGAATGTCAACTATTCTTCGATAGACTATCTGCATCCTCCTTTCACCGCTGTCTGCTCGGCATTCTACCAGATGCAAGGAGTATTGAATACACTTAGCGGACCCGATGGGCTCTGGAGAAACGATGGCGATTATGCCAAAGCCCGCGCTGCAATCTCTGTTCGAGAGAAGCTGGCAATAAGCATGGGCTACGTTGAAGAGATTGAGGATTACGTTGATATGCTCAACGCCAGTAAGTATTGAACTGCATTCAACCTCTTCTACCGAAAACGTCCGACAAAAGCTGACCTGGTTCGATAGATGTACTGGATCCTATGCTGATAAGCTTTCGTGATGTGATAAGCGCTCTTCAAGACTTGTCTGCGAATACCTTATACGGAGATGATGACGACCAACGAATCAATCTTAAAGAATTGATAACATCGACGAAGCTGGCACGTAGATTAAGTCCCATTTCTCTCAATCTTCTCTCGTCTGCAGAGGCAGGCGATATTGGAATTCCATTCACCCTCAACTGCTGCCAACAACATATGCTAACAGATGATCAGTGGACTTCAAGTTACAGCCGAGCGAGGGACTTCTTCAACAAATCTCTGCCGATTCGTTTTCGAGACTGTGTTGGTGTCGCAGAGATTACTGACAATCAACTCAAGACCCAACTAGCTCCAAAAGGCACTGACTGGAACCAAGTTGTCATGGGTTTCGAAAAGATCGACCTTGACAGGCAGAAGCAGCTATACAGCTTAATTGCCCGTAAAGATGACCAAAAAGACGCACCTACCATCACAACCTACGGTGATCCAAGCTCCACACCGGTAGGAGCTCGGGCACGTATGTTGGAGTTACCTAAGTCAAGTCAGAATGAATTCGGCAGAGTCAGCAACTGGAACCAAACAAAAATTGGTGACTACTACGAGATTCCTGTTACTTTCGGCAACACATATACTACGAAGCCCAGTGTTATCTGCTGGTTGGAGGGTTTCGAGGCTCATACAACGAAGAACCTTCGTGTTCGTGCAGAAGTCATTGGCATCACTGAAAAAGGTTGCGTTATGAGAGTCGGTAGTTGGGGGGATACAGAGCTCGTCCACATCAATGCTGTCTGGTTCGCGCACGCTGCTGATCACCCCCGCCTTTTTACTGGAGGTGGCAGTATTCACAAATACGGGCAACATTCCGATATATGGGCGCCTTTCGTGTCGGTGGACTTTCCAGAAGGAAAGTTTAAAAAGCGAAGACCTGATATCTTTTTGGCCATTTCTCTTCTCGATACCCATTCCCAGTTCAACCCTAGATGCGAGATAAAGGCCACAAATGTTACCCAACGAGGTATGAAAGTGTCGGTTGATCCTTGGTGGGACACATATTGCTATGAGGCTCGTTTTTCATGTATTGCGTTTGATCCAGACTTCTTTCAGTGTGCTTCGGAGATTTAACTGTTGACCTTTTTAAGCTAGGGGACATCGTGAGATCAGTTTACCTCTTAAACCAGCATATTGTTACATAGCTCTCTGCGTTCGATATGCATTTCTTTAAAACGTCATTTAAGTCCAGATTGTGCCCGATAAAACATGCTACAAGGGGAATAAGCTTCTCATGGCGTAATGAATTTTTGAACGCCAGATATTTAAGTTCTTTGATCCATGTAGTTTAGAGTAAGAGAGTTTAGAAAGTAGTTGATTTCATTCCTATCCTAGCTTCTGCAAAAGACAACAAGAATAATGCTTACGTCCAGCAAGACAGCTGAGAAGCTCTTATGCTTATCATTCATTGTCCTTCTTTGCCTTCTTGCGGCACTTACTGCAAATATCTTCCAAGCTTTCGCTGTCAATAGGTATAGCCTTTTTCCCGCAACCTTCGAATACACCTCCTGCCTTAGGACAGGGACGTTCAACGATATGAGTATTCATTTCGTCCTTGCAAGTGGCGCATTTGTCAACTACAATGCTCTTGATGCACATCGTGTGATTGTTCAGGTGATTCAAAGTATAGAGTATAGTAGAATTGTTCTTGTAGCTTAGATTGGTGGGTTGTTGAATGGGAAAAGGACGACTTGAGTGTGGAGATACCGGTGATTTTGAGTATGGAGTAAAGTCAAGATGTTATGTACCTTGGATTGGTAGATTCTTGAGTGGAATGAGTAAAAAGTGAGTTGAGAGTGGAAAGTAGATTGTTTATATAGGGATAGCAAGCGCACTGATGCGGAGTGAATGCAGTGATTATTAGAGGGAAGGCAGAGGCAACGACAGGTTTTCACGGCAATGAAGGATACTGATTTACCGCGAGAGCCAGGGCAGTAACAAACAGCTATGCTTTGCTCTTCTGTTTCTGCTTCTATTCACTGTTCTTGCATTGCCTGCTACAGTCGTCGTTAACAACGGCGATGGCCTTCAATTTACATACTTCCAAAGCCCGCGATTCAGGATAGAAATACTTATGTTCAGGCTCTTTCTCCCCCAGTGGACAAGATGGACTTGGAGGGGGGTATCAATTACTTCTTCAATAGTTCAAAACCCTGTCCCCGCTTACGACATGGCAGGAATTGACGCCTGTAAGCCTGAGCCAGTCTGTGAGATGTGAGGCGGTGATCCTACAGAGAGAAACTAGGGGCGGAGGAGGAGATCACATCATATTTTCAGAAGAGAGCATAGGCCTTGTAAATAATGTATATGTATTTCCTTCAGCCAGCAAAGTCTGAAGCCTCCATTAGAAGCTCGAAGTCTTCCAGTGGCAGACTCTCGGTTCTATTCGCTTGTCAAAAGTCGGGACTAATGTTGTGCGGCAAATGCATCAGCATACATATCCATACCACCGACAAAGCCATTCAGTCTCGTTGGTACCCAGCCAAGTAACTGCTTCGCCCGGTCAGACGACCCTCGTAGACTAGTTCCCATGGCCTCCGCGAACAAATCATCGCCTGGTCCTACCAGCTCACAGTGTCCCTTGAATCCCCAGTGCGAAGCCAGAGCTGTAAAGATATCAGACATTCTCTCCTGGCTTGTCACAAGGTCAAAGACAGGATAGACCGAGGTGCTGTTGATAAGTGAAAGCTTCTCTATAGCTTTCTGGAAACCGGTAGCGACATCGCTGACGTGCACAAGCCCGGGGCGAGAGTTAGCGCTCAATGGAATCTTGATAGTGTCCAATGACTTATCTCGGGAAGCATGAAGGAGTGGAAGTATGAAGGCGGTCCAGATAGTACTTTCGCCGCCGTATATGAGTGCCGGACGTAAAACAGCCACGTCCAGAACGTCAGAGGCGGCAAGAACAGCGTTCTCATGCGCGACGCGCCATGCGACAAGCGGTGCAGGTGGTGCAGGGGCATCAGGTCCCACAGTCTCAAGATCGTTGACTAGCTTATCACTTGATCCATGAACCCAAGTTCCCGAACAGTAAATGAACCCAAGCTTAGGTGTATGCGTGAGACCAGCCGCTTTGGCCTTGTTCAAACGCTCTTGGCCGACGGCTTTCACATCAGCAAGGAACTTTGCAGAGTTTTGATTTGCGCCAGAAACGTCAACAACGATATCAATGTTAAAGTTGCGAATCGCGTCGAGGTAAGCATCTGGTTTGTTGATAGGGTCGGGGCAGATGATGGGGGAAACTTCAGCGACGGCCAGAGACTTGGCTTTGGCTTCATTGCGGGCGATACCGTAGACTCTGTGTTGGCCGCTATTGACAAGAACGTTGCAGAGTCTGCTGCCGAGATAGCCAGTGGCGCCGATGATGAGAACTTTGGGCATTGTGAATGGTGAAGATGTTGTTTCTTTGTAGGAGGATGAAGTCGGTCAGTCGTGTTCTTGCAGATGAGGGAACTGCACTTTGTTCGTAATAATTATTGTGCTATTTGCAATTTAAAGAGTCCTTCCTTGATCTTCTTCTCTTTTATACTGCAACAGCTCTATCATCAAACGGATTTTACTATCGGACGTATCAATTACATTATTCCCAAAGAGGTCTCTTTAGGAATAGTGTGCTGAGGCTCTAGCGCTTACAGCACCGGAGATAGACGGACGGCGGCGCTGGCGGGATTAAGAACTACCAAATCTGGAAATCCGACACGGAATTAAGCCATCTCGAACCTAGACAAGAACTGTTCTTCAACCTCCCCGAAGAAAATCTCCCATAGTGAAGAAAACTGTGACTTCAGACCATCGCGTTCCTCTTCAGTCCAAACCCGCCCATCACGAGTCCAGCGCATAGTGTCTTTTGCGTAGGGTATGGGTTGGCCGTAGGTGAGAGTCATGAACGGCCCTGTCACACAGAGTCAGCACATCAACGGCATTGATCGGGGTGTACTTACAAAGTCCGGCGGGTAGACCTAGACTTTCATAACATCTTGGTTCGGTCTCTGTCATTCTCTTCTCAATCCAGCCGTGAAATTGACGGAAGCCTTCGACTGCTAGAGAAGATATGCGGACTGAATAGAATCTGAGGATAAAGTTGTCATGTTTCCAGATGAGGTCCACGACCGGAACTCGGATAAGCCTTCCATCAAGACTGGTAGTGGTGCCAACTTCGACGCATCCTTGTTTGGTCAGATATCAACTTTGAGAGAATATTGCTTGGGTAACTCACTGTCAAAGTCGACGTCTGGTGGACCTAGCCCGAGTCTTTGTGTCGCAAGTCTCAAGAAAAGGCCAATCTTCTGGAAGTCAGGTGGGTACATGATCAACCGTGCCCTATACCAATTAGAAGTACTTTCATGAATACTTGGTCAAACTCACGCTACCAAGGACCCTTCCAACTCCCAATTATGCAATGCCCCATTCTCACGTAAGAACACGTAGCACGCCAACGCAGCTTTCTTAGTAGACCTTGTTGCCACTTTATTGACTTCAGTATCAAGCGCTGGGAGTGACTTCTCTTTGATACCGAGTAACGCGTGGTCCAAGACCGTGTTGCCACTAGCCACTGTATTCCATGGAATTTTCTTGCCGGGGAAGTGCCATTGTGCATGGTCTTTGATCATTTGCAAAGCGGTCTTGTTGGACCAGTAAGCTGCCATGTGCAGAGAAGTCCGACCTCTTTCATCTGCTATGCGAAAAATGTCATCGAAAGCTGGGTACTTTGCTAAGAGCATTCTTGTGATTTGGTGGCATGCAAGGTCATACGAATCTCGAGCTTGGCAAGGTCAGTGGTGTCGTTATAAGTGTGCGGACACTTACATCCTGAAAAGCCCTCTATAGCTGTTGCTAGTAAAGTCTTGCCCGCCGGTGTAGTTACGTACTCGGGAAGTGGATCGAGATTGAGGAGATACTGGATATGTTCGATGGGTACCAAGCCATCGGCGACAGCGAGTGAGACGAGGTAGCCTCCGAATGTTACCCACGTGCCATCTCGACTCATCTTGTAATCATGCTTCAAAGAGTGCTTCGCACGTAGAGCCTCAGCCAGTTTGCGCTCATCATCGTAGCCTTCGACGAGAAGCTGAGCAAACACTGTAAGGCCAGAGTTGCACTGCCCCTCCAATATCTCCGTCATGCTCTTGCTCTGTCGTTTCTCTAAGGGGAACTCTTCAAGCGTCGTGATAAGCTCTGGCAAGATTTTGGGGAAGTAGTGCGCCGCAAAGTGAAGAGCGTTCCGCCCTCGTCTCTCCTTGGTGAGAATATTCGCACCTTGTCTGACAAAAGCACGTACTGCCTCAATATCTCTCCTCTCAATAGCGACATGAAGAAACAATCGGGGCAAGTTCCACGAAGGATCGTCGATGATAGTATCTGGAAAGACTTTCAGAAATGCATCGACGAAGAAGCCTGACCCTCTGAAGGTGCACATCGTCAAGAACGGATCGGTCGGTTGCTTCTTATCCACTCGTCGTCTCTCAATCATCACCGCCCGAGTATCTTCGTCAGCTAGGAGAGAGATGACAGTCTCCAACTTTTCCTTGTACCCTTTGCCTCCGACGCACATACAGTAGAAGCGTGTTCTGCGGAAAAGAGCACTCAGCGCTTGAGCTTTGGCATCGCTGAGTTGACGTCGTGCTGACAAGCCCAGAATAGCCACCAAGGCCTCTGAGGCAGCTAACATTTTCCGCAGAAGATCGACGTCAAGTTGCTGAGCCGCATGCGCAATAGCAGTGTTGAAATTCAAGAATCCATCCCATTCTTGGACATGTCTCGTCGGATCTGCACCATACTCCAGCAGAAGCTCAGTGGCCAGCCCTTGAGAATAATCCCATGATGCAAATGTAGTGTGGAGTGGAGTTGCACCGTTCTTCATCTGGACATTGATGTCGAGACCAGCTGACAAAGCAATGTCAAATATCTCCTCGCAGTGCTCACGTTTGGAGAACTGCGTTAGGGAGTGAAGAACCGTCGCGCCGTAGAGAGTCTCTCGAATAGTTGGGTCAGCGCCGTTGTCGATAAGGAGTTTTGCCATGTCGGAGTGGCCGCAGTGGCAGCTTAGAAGCAATGGTGCCCAGCCGTGAGTGTTGCCATGTGCGTTAGCATCAGCACCAAGGTCGACTAGAGCACGCGCCATGGCAAGATCGTTCTTACAAGCTGCAATCTGAAGCAGGGTAAAGCCATCCTTGTTGCAGCAGTTGAGGCAGTCAAGTCGAGTGGCTTCCTCTTTGAACTCCTCCATCCTTCCTGGGTCAATGTTTTCTTTTCCTGCATCTTTCATACACGATAGTCGATCAAAGTCGAATACTGGAGTGTTCATAATTGGCTTGTCCTTCAAGAACAAAGGGCTGTTGCAGTGGAGAAGAAACATATTCGGAAACTTTCTCTCAGTTGCGAGATATGCTTCATACTTCTCTGGCCACTTGTGAACCCAGGTCTTGCCGAGGACTTGAGTGGTTGAGAGATGCTTCGGGACTAAATGGTCGAATAGTGTTCCTTGAGCAAGACCGAACGTCTTTGTTCCGTATGACTCAACTTTGCTAAGAAGTTCATCTTTGCTCTCTGGCGGCAGAGGGGTGTCGCATGCATCGAAGATTCTAAGAATAATAGACAATGCATCAGGGTTATCCATCATAGCTGCTGTAACAAGATGCTCCAGGCCTCTCTCTATCGATGGCTCGACGAGCTGTCCATTGAGATATGCGCCTGCAAGATGCAAAGGAGCAGCAGAGTTTTGTACATCTCCTGACTCAACGCTTTCCCTCAAATCCCGAAAGACCTCTTCCTGCGCCACTCTTGGGATGAGTGATACGTTTAAGGTGTGCTCAAATGCAAACTAGCTGGTCAGGAGCGCCTCTCAATGCGATGCATTACTTACATCTGGAACTTTAGAGATAGCTCCATCGAATGTCTCCTCCATTCGAGAGATGAAGCCCTCACTGTCTTGAGTATCCTCATCGGGCTTCCAGTTCTTCTTAAACTTCTTGAGACTAGCTGGTTTGAGGCTGTGATCTTCGAAGCATGTTGCGAGCATTTTCTCGAACTCTGGGTTGTTGATCCTGATGGATATGACTTGGTCGTACATTTGTCGTAGTTGGATGAGCATTTCGTCCTGGTCGATTTCATTTGTCTGAGAATCAGTCACCACGTGTCAGCAAACATTCGCTAACAACAAAGCCTGTTGAAGTTGAAGCCTTACCAATCCTGAATGTTTCTTCTCAAGCGCACCCAGAGCGCCCCTTGGAAGTTAGCATATGACCGAAATGTTTATGGGGCTACGTACTTGTATCCGTCTACAGCTGGCCGTAGATCCTTGAACCACTCTAGGGGAATGGTTGCCTTTCCAGTATGTAGATGTTGCATGAGTCCCAGGAAAAGATAACTCTGTATCGCTGATAATGACACCCTGCCCGAGGGTGAAGGTGCACAGGTTCCCTCGAGAAAGGCGTAGACGAACTCTTCCTGCTGTTCCGAGAGAGGTGTCTTCTCTTTGATGTTCTCTATGAGTGATCCAACTGCTGAGCTTGACTGGCCGGGTGACTTCTTCTTCATCTCCAAAACATCACCCGGACTCAGTGACTCAAGCGGTGTACAACCCTTCATGAAGATGCTGGCAGTGAGTAATCCAAGAGAATAAATATCCGTCTTATGAAGATCCTCCAATCTAATAGGTTCTTCGGCGTCAAGTTCAGGTGCCATCCATGGAAGGCTGCCAATCCTCGCTTGAAACATGTGCTCAGATTTATAATCATCAAGAATGACCGCATATCCAAAGTCGCAAAGTTTAGCCCGGATTGGCGGAAGACCAGTTTTATGAAGGAGGTCATGCTGGTGTTCATCCAAGCCAGACGTGAAGACGAGCACGTTCGTTGGCTTCAGATCAGCGTGCACGATGCCGTGAGCGTGGAGAAACTGCAGCGCACGGCCGATGTTCATGGATATTGCCAATTGGGACTTGAAGTCCGCTTTGTTAGAGGCGAGATACTCCGCCAACGTCCCCTCATCAGCAGCCTCGAGCAAAACCTGTGGCCAAAACCGCCCGACACTCGGTGACTCGCTCCACGAAATGGCTAGCATCGAGACAATAAAATCGCATTGTCGAATAGTCTCATTCGACAAAACTCGTATCTCGTTAATAGCAGCGGCAAGTTGAGGCGAGTCACTCGCAACTCCTTGAGCGGTAACAATCTTTTTTGTGACATATCGTCTGAACTTTTGGCTGTCCTTCGCTTTCTGAATCCAATCGCGCACTCCGGGTGTCGCATTGATAAAGTCCTCGTCTGCGTCGAGACTAAGCTCTTCAGCTGATGCAAACACAGCGAATGAAGCACCTGCACCAGCTGAGAGGATGTTCATGCTGGCGATGACATTGTTTTGAGCGCTGAGGATGGGGACATCGAGGGCCACGGCGACAGCCAAGAATTCAGCTTGGCCTTTGACTGCGTATGTTTTATCGGGTCGATTAATCAATTCCGTTGCCGAAAAGGGAGCGGAATATGTCGAAAATGATTGAAAATCGCCCATTTTGACGATGGAAAGACCTTGAAGAGCCTGGTTGAAGGTCCGCCGCGGGATGGCGTCTTATTTCAGGCATGCTTCGGAACGTGAGGCTGATTTCGCTCGCTAGGCTGAAACCAGATTGTATCATATCTCAGCCATGTCGGCCAATAGAACTCGATATCTTCCCTCACAAGCTTACGAAATCGCTGTGAGACTTTCAGCTTGGGCCGTAAAAATGAGGGGTTCCGACGCTATTGATTACCTGCATTGGCTTATCAGGGTCTAGATCGCCAGTCAAACCATCAAACCTGCTTCTCTGCGCAACCTCCTCCTTTCAACCCACTTCTACGCGTCGAAATGTCTGGTCTTGAGATACCAGCTTTTATCATCGGCCTTGGCGGTCTGATTTCTGTTTTTGAGAAGGGTTTTGAAGTATGGCGCGTCATCCGAAGAGCGGACGATTTTGGAGATGATGTTGCGGATTGGATGTGCAAGTTGGAGATGGAGTTCTTTCGGTTCCAGACGTGGTGGACTGCTTTGGAACACCTTGCGATTTCGAAGAGGTCATCGCATTCTGTTCTCAATGTGCCACTTCAGTCATCGCCTTTACAGATCACGCTAGATAAGCAGTTCGGCAAGCCCATTATTGACGCTGCGACAAGCGTCTTGAGATTACTCGAGAAGATTGAGGAAATACTACAACGAAATGGTGTTTTGGTCGTCACGCAAGCTGAACCAGTTATCACAGATCAAGGCGCAGACCTCGCTGAGGCTGCAGCGAAATCGCGACAGCGACTCAAGCGATTCGCTAGTGACCTCTTGAAGCATACACCGTGGACAACTCGGATCAAACACAGCACCAGCCCATGGAAAGAAGACTCCGACAAAACCGCACTTGATGATTCACTGGAGTCCATGATATACTGGAACAACACTCTCTATAGCATACTGCCCCAAAATATTCGAGACAGCATCCTTGAGCTCGGAATTGCAGGTTACGCTTTGGACTCGCCAGACAATATCAAGGACATCGTCAATCTGTCTAATGATCGCAACACAACATTAAGCCAAAGCGCTAAACTCATGACTATTCGACAGCGCTTCAAAGATGGCGCGGGCTTGAGCGCTGATGTGGATGCTATACTTCAGAAGATGGAGCTCAAAGAGGCTGCATTTGAAGGTCTTGTCGCTGCCGACGTCTTCAAGGGATGTCAATACACGATCTCTCAGTACACAACTCAAGACGGTGATGTTTCCCCAGTTCTCATCGAATGGATACCCATTCCAAAAGACTTCGACGCCTACAAACTGGCTCACTCTCGGATGGCAAGAATCTCGTATACTTTACAGCAGATCGGAACATTTTCAGCAATACAGCCCCTCCACGCGCTTGGATTCGTTGAGTTTGGTGGTGCAAGGTCTTTTGGCCTTGTTTCGACTTTGCCTCGCACTCTTACATCTTCTACAAAGGTCTATACACTCTACGATATGCTAGCTGGTGGCCAAAAGTCGGCGGCGGGTAGTAAATCAGTTTCACGAGTACAGCATGCTCTTCCAAGTCTAAACCAACGGCTTCAGTTAGCATCAAAGCTAGTCATGGGCTTCTATACCTTTCTTTTGACTCGATGGCATCACGAACGCTTCAATTCCCTGCACATAGCATTTCTTCTTGACGAGGCAGACACAAAGTCAAAGGTCCTCGACCTGACTCAACCTATCATCGGAGGCTTCGCAATTTCTCGGCCAGATTCACCTGCTGAGCTTTCCATCTCAGCGTCAGTTGAAGATACTGAAGTTGTATACTTGCATCCCGACATACGCCAACGTCTCAAATTAGGAGCCAAACAGACTGGTAACGAACAGCGTTTCCAGCGCGTCCATGACATTTATGCTATCGGATTGTTATTAGCTGAGATTGGCTACTGGCGACCCATCGCAAAAGTCGCCGAGTCAGGAGCAAAGGGTTCAAGAGCAAACTCCATGTCACCCGAGCACTTCAAAGAAGCCGTTATCAAGAAATGCAAATCGGACTTGGCTTTCTTCGCTGGGGAGACTTACAGGGATATCACGCTGCGATGCTTACTGGCTGGTGAGACGGGCGGGGTTCAGGCAGAAAACGACGCTGCTGGATTGAACAACCTGTATTGGGACGTTGGAATAAATCTTATAACTAGCTAGTAGATTAAAAGACCTTTTAGCAATTATTATAACTATAATT